GTCATCTGGAGGCAGAGACTCTCTCGAGATGGTCGCTACCTGGTATATATTTGTTTTCGGAATGGGGAGGAGGAGGAGGAGAATGATGCCACCTCCAGCTTAATCGTCATGAGACTGGCTGATGGCAAAAACATCGGTGCTTGTTCCCTTTACAAAACACCAACTTTCCTTGCGCTCTCACAGAGACACCTGAACATCATTGTCGGCTTTGATGATGGGAGTATAGGAATATACACAGTCGTGGACCGTGTCGATGCTGCCCTGAAAATCAAAATTGCCACTTCCAACAGCAGGCAGATCTTCAACAATGCAGCGCAGACATCCAGGCCAAAGTCGAACAGTTACTCCTTTAAAGTGTCCGTGGACTGCCTGTGGAGAGAGTCCACTGAGGTCTTTGCAAGAGACAGCCCCATCACCGTGAGTGACTCCTCAGAGTCCAACGAGGCAACGCCTTCCAAGAAACACAACTCTTGTTATGACCGGGTGTGCGCTGCCCTTGAATCCCGGAGCCACAGCTATACACCAGATAACTGACATGATGTTTATCCTGCTCAACGGAAATACATAATCCACACACAACAGACAAAAAAAAAAGCAAAGTGAATCTTCTGCATCACAATGATAAGCTGCTCGTTTCTTAAAAGCAGGAAAGACGCTGGAATTCTGAATTGACTAATGTCCTTGTGAAAAGAACAGAACTCTGAGACTTGACTTGGGTGCCATCTTTTTGTCCAAATGTGTTAGGCAAATAGAGAGCTTCCATAAGTGTTAGTGAAATGGCCATTTCACCTAGAAGAGAGGGGATACAGTCTTTTAAATTTGCTGTATAATAATCAGCACAATTCACTACACTGATTCAGATGAGAGAAGCTAGACTTATAGGTAGACCAGTTGGACTAGAAATAGTTCTACCGAAGTCTGTTGAAATCATGATGGCAAAGAACTATCTGTCTCTGAATGGTGGTGTGATAGCAAATTGCAGCCTTAATCTCTCTTTACGTTTCCCAATCCTGACAACTGTGTAAACTTAGTCTGCATACAAGAGGTCTAACGGTGCAAAATCATGTCTGAAAGATGTCCAGATGTGTTCCAGTTTCCCAAGACACCACATACAATGTGAGATGGTGAACAGCCTGGGAGGAGAACTAACTACCACTATTATAGGGCTACTGAACACGGAGAGTCAGTCTTCATCAAAATACACTCACAACAACTGCATGCAAAGGTTTCTGTGTCATGGAATATATCCTTTTTAAACTGTTTCTTTCTTGGATTGCAAAAGAACCCACTTAATAAGAAACTGCAATCTTTTTACACTTTTTCTTGAGATGCCTATTTGTGATGAGTGTAAAGAATTATAGAAAGGGCATTACAAACGTGGTCAAAACACCTGTTCCTTTCTTTCATTGTACTAACAAGAGTCTGTACTCTTCAGTCAGCCGTTGGGGAAGCCTAAGTCATTTCCCAGACCCCTGCAGGATCTCTTAATAGGAAGCAAGCTTTTTCAGCACGCCATCTCTGACACACTGATGACATTGCCTTATTCTCATTCCTTCTCTCTCCTGAGTAAAAGTGCAGATACACGACCAAATACTCTGGGACAAACTGAATATGCCTGTCTCTGTGCTAAAATATCCCGTATATCTTAAGGGTGTCCAAAGGTTCTTAGCATCTCTGTTTGTAATCACTTTCTTACTTCTATACACTGTATGTATGCTTCTTTACCTGTTCCACTTCCAGACTGAGGACTTTCCTAGTCTTACCATTTCAAAGCAGAAACTATGAAATGGTATTTTTTTAAAAAAAAAAAAAAAAAAAACGACTTTACCAATTTGAAGGAAAACACATCTCAGAAGGTGAAAGTGATTTTCTTCCTTCCATGTCCTCCCCATGGCATGTCCGGGAAGAACTTTCAAGGGGGTCAGGAGCAGTGGTTGGTTTGATTTTCTTTGAAAGTGGAAGTTCCTTAAATCAGACCAGTGGACAAGGAACTGGCTTATTTTCGCCCCAGCTCCACTGCGAACTCATCATGCTCCTGTACCTGATCTTTAACCTCACCAGTGTATTGCTTTTGTGGACTGCACAGTAAAGGAGGAGATGGTTTCTGCTCCAGCCTGTAGGCCTGGTGGGGATGCCGGGAGTAACATGAGAAACACGTCACTGCTGTGACATATTGATTGCCGACATAAAGGGGGAAAAAAAAAACAAAATTATCTAAACCCATAGAGAATCCAAGTCAATTGTATTTCACCGGTGAAAAGGTTTAACATGTAAGCATTCGAAGGTGTCACTCAGATATCAACACCTTACTCCATGGTGAAACACTTTTTAGGTGTGTTCCTCATAGTGTAGCTACCAGCCAGTAGGTGGAAGCCCAGGGAGAGCTAAGATCCATATACCCATCATCTGGAGCCCATTCTTTTAGCTCTTCAGCCAACACATTCTTATCCCTGTCCTTATCAGTTGAACCTCCATGCCATACATTTCTAAGAATTAAATGCCTAGATGGATTAAATGTAGTGTGTGAGTGTCCTGTGTAAAAACTAATAGAGTATAATCAAGTGACCTGAGTGATTTTTTTCCTAACATGTTTGCAACTGATAGCTCATACTGAATGTTTTTATGTAAACTTTGTATTGTTGGGATGAACTACCCAATCAGAGATTTATATTTTCATAAATGTTACATTTAGTTAAATTTTGTTACAGAGTTGTTACACTAGACAATTATTTCAGTGTTCGAACAATATACGGTCTTGTGTATGTATCGTTTGTATGAATAAAAGATGAGCTACTTAGGCTTGAGTGCCGCTTGTTTTTTCACCGCTGAGGTTGGCCAGACATAGAAGACCTCAAGCACCAGTGGTTATTCATATTTACCAAAGGTACACTAGAACTGTTCTGGGAGTTTCCAGGCACACAGCCATGCCATCTACACCACAGCCTGGTGAGTTTGGTACTATTACTACTCCACGTTTCTAGGTGATAAAGCTTAGACATAAAGACGGTGGGCATGACCCCAGTGTACGGGCAACATCTTCGATAACTTTCTCAATGCACATCAAAATACTCAGTACCCAGCAGTCACTCGGTGATGGTAACTTCTAAGATTTTGACTAATTTGCAGGTGAGAGATTCAGCTAGTTTGTTAAAGATCACGGGAAGTTACCATAAATGCCTGAGTTTGGTTTGTTTTGTCTTGTTTTCCTTTTCTCCAGTATACAGGGAGAGTTGATGAACTCAGTCAACAAATATTTACCTAATCACAAATTTCACCAAGAACACAGAAGTCAGTAAAATAGCTCTTGCCTTCTAGAGTTTCAGACTCAACAAGAAAACGGGGAGAAAATAAGCTCTCTGTACATGTGCAAGGGCACACAACTTCCTCTTGGGACTGGAGAAGGGAAAGATGGTGGCCAAGGACTGGAGCCACTCATAAATTCCAAAGTGAGTGAGCAAAACATAGGAGAACCTTTCTGGATACCTTTGTACACAATCATACACACACACACACACACACACATACCACATACACACACATATCACATACACACATACACCACATACACACACCACACACACACCACATATATACACACCACATACACACACATCACATATACACACACCACATACACACACATCACATATACACACACCACATACACACCACATACACACACACCACATACACACACACACCACCTACACACACACCACATACACACACACCACACACACATCACATACACACACACACCACATATACACACACCACATACACACACACCACATACACACACACCACACACACACCACATGTACATACATCACATACACACACACCACCACCACCACACCACCTACACACACACCACATACACACATACATGCATGCACACGTGCACGTACACACACCACACCACATACACACACACCACACACACACACACACACACACACACACACCTTTGGTCTGAGAATTCCCATACACACCAAAAAAAAAAAGGATATCTTTAAACATGACAGTATTGGAACGCTTCAGTGATATAAACAATAATCAGATGAAACCTTGTATATAGTTCTCAACAAAGCAAACACTCTCAAAAAAAAAGACAACTCAAAATTCAACGTTTAAAAAAAAAACTAACTTTTCTTACCCTCATCTCTTTCTGGTTGAAATGAACCTCCAAGTTTCCCCCCACTGACTCCAACACCCAAAACAAATTCCAAAGTCTTTGGACCAGTAACACCATGAATATTTCTGACAAGGCTGGAAATTGAACCTGAGAATCACTTATTGTGACAAGATTTTTTTTCCTTCAAATCAATAAACAGCATTTAACAACGTATAAATTCCCTCATAAATGTACCATTTAAAAGCGCACAGCTACCTTAGTGCAAGAAAGGGCCGAAAATCATTACGTGTTCTCCCATAGAGCGTAGTAAATGCCTGTGAAAGCAGAGGGTATCTCGAACGCAAACACTCTGAGAAACTACCGGTCTTAAGGTCTTTGGAAAGTTCTCTGTCCAGTTCCTTCTCCAGCATCGTGTTTTATCCTCTTTCACTGCGAGCCTTGGGGCGTGGAGAGGAAGGCGAGTAAGCTAGATGGCGCAGTTGCTCAACACATTTTCTTGGCAAACTCCAGAGCCAGGTGGAAAGAAGACCCAAACCTTAACCCGAATTTCAGGATTAAGCCACCAATTCTCCAGCCGTCCTAAGTAAAGCTCCGTGCGTTTGATGGAGCGTCCCACATCCTGACATCCCCAAGGGAAGGGGTCTGGAACCAGGGTTCTTTCACTCCCCCCCACTACAGCCTTTTGGACCCAGGCAAGCTTGCAGCCCCTGGGAATGACCGTCGCAGCGGCGTCTGGGCTGTTTGTCCAGCCACCAGGCAAGGCGACCAGCAGTGTGCGCGCTCGCACGCGCGATCAGGCAACTAACGCGGGCTGGCTCGCCGACCCCTCACTCAAGCCTGGATCCTGGGACGGTCCCCTGGTCCCTGCAGCCTGCGTCCGCCGGGACGGGGCGCAGGTAAAGGGTTACGCGTGGCTGGGAGGCTCGCCCGCTGCCCGCCCACGTGACGCGCCGGCCCAATGACCGCGGCCCGGCTGTGGCTGCAGCGCGGCGGGCTCCCGGCGGCGGCACTGAGCCACACTCGCGTGTCCCGGCGCGGACGCCCGAGGCCCCCCCGAAGCCATGGGCGCCCCGACCCTGGAGACGCCGCCCCGCCGCAGGTAAGCAGCGTCCCGGCCCGCGTCGGGCTCCGCGGGGAGGCGGAGGAGGGCTGCGGGTCCTGGGCGGGAGTCCCCGCTTCGTTCCTCGATCGCTCTTACTTCTCGGTTCCCCTTCTCCTGGAGGGACGCGGGGAGAAACGAGGCGAGGCGAAAACCCGTGGTTTGGGTGACTTCGGGGAAAAGTCACGGAATTCAAGCAAGGCGCGGGAAGAGAGGCAACCTGGCGGGAGGCGCGGTTCGGGTTCCCAAACTAAAGGCGTCCGTGCTGGTTGTGGGAAATGGTTGGGTTTTGAAAACTCCCAATTCATGAACTCTCAGCCGTGCCTGGGAACTTAAATTGGACAAATTGCAAGAGATTTTTTCCCATCTGCCTGTGTACGGGGTTCACCATATTTTAGCATGGCGGGGGGAGCTTTTATTGAATAAAACGGGAAAGGGAATTTGACCGCCCCCGCCCTTTGAAATGCCCTTGGGTTCTGGGATTGGATCTAAGGCGATGGCGACGGTGCATGGAGGGACTGCCACACCGCGGTGCTCCCCAAGAGCCTGGGACTGGGAGCGTGGGCGCCAGATGCAAATGGTTAAAGGGTCTCGCAGCTGTAAATATTTAAATAGGCAAGTATCTCCCAGGTCAGTCACCTGGGGCTCCGTGGCCCTGGGCAGTCCTGATGAAGTGATATTTTTCATCAAGTCACCAATGAAGAATTTTCCAGTCATCCCAGGCAGATAGCAGTGGGGCTTTTATCCTTTCCAGAGCCGTAATTACCCTGAGAAGCTAAACAAAATAACCCCATCTGCAGTGGCGCCGAACGTTTTGTTTCCCATCGGAGTGTGGACCCTTGCGCGATGCATGTAGAGGAAGTAGCTGTTCTAGGACACGCTTCAGATTAAAAAAAAGCGATTCTTGTCTCCCCGTCGCTGTTGATGCGAACGTGTTGGTGGTGGCTTTGTGGACGGATGCTTTGGGTGCTTGAAACTTAGCTATGGTGAAAAAGAACAGCCCGAAAAGTGGACGAAAAAAGAAATGGGAGTCGTTGTTTTTAGAGGTGGTAGGTTCTGTATTTGCTGGAGTTTTTTCCTCCCGTGTAATTTTCCAGTTAATACTATTTTAAGAAGGATACAATAGTATCTCCCACAAAAATTCCCAGCTAATTCTATTTTAAGAAGGAATTCTAGCCCCCTACACCTAAGCACCGGTGTCCTCTAAACACCGTGTTAGCCCCTTTGGTAAAAATCTCTGTCTTGGGGAAGATCTCTGTAACAATAATACGGAGCCCCTATCATCAAGGAGAGTCCTGGGTTTGTGTTTCTCCAAAGTGTGAAAACTCAGGAAACAGGCAGCTCCAGGGCCCACTGAGGAGAAATAAAGGTGGCAGGTGGCAGATCCAGGACGGTGAACTGTGGGTTCGTTTCTCCTGCTCACCCACTCTGCCCATCTTTTGATCCTGTTCCTCGACTTATTCTACAAATAAATGCTTATTTTATGTCCCCAGAAACTTATTGTCTGTGAAGATTTTGATATCTGATAGTGTCCGAATTTAAGTGTGGCCCATTTAAATGTGCTCGCTACATTCCAAAGAGATTTTACACACCCGGATTTTGAAAGGAAACAAAACCTTGCTTATCACTTGAGCATGTACTCTTTCCTAAAAATGGAAGGAGTCCCTCGCTTCTGGCCCTGCCCTCCTCAGAGCTTGAAAACTGTGTTCTCTAAGTCGTGGCCAGGAGCCAGTCTCTGCCCAAGGGCAAAGCAGGTGCTGACCCCTTTCCCCTCAGAACTGCCTGGTGGAGCCCCAGGAGCCCATTGCCTGGGTTTCCTAGAAAGGACTCTGTTTTTCTACTAACTGATTACTAACCTCCTTGTACCTAGTTTCCTCTCTCTAAACAGTGTCTCACATGTTCCTAGTTAGACAGTTTCCCAGTGACTCTGAATCTTGGGCTCTTTCAGGTTCTTGCTTAAAGAACCTATTTCGTTTCTAATGTGATCATTAGAGTGGTTGTCTGGATAGTCTTCCTAGATAATTCAGAAAAGACCAGCTGGCAAGAGCTGACTGGACCATCGTAGGGGAAGGACAGGTGTGGAGAATTCCCTGTCTGCAGGTCAGATGGGGGGGGGCCCAGTTGTGGTCTTTGTAGTGCCTGCTCTTAACCCCAGAGTCATGCTGGCCTCTAGCTGAAACCTTTCTTACTCTGGTTATTTCCTGAACACTCCTGAAGAGAGCAAACTGAAAATCAAACCATTCATGTTTTCTCCATGACTGGGATCTTCAGAAAGATGCTAGGCCATCAACATGACCCTGTCTTAAAAATATACTTTAAACAATGAGCTGTGATTATGTGTTCTGAAGCAGATAATGAAATAGCTTAGCCTATGATTCGGTGTTGTTAGAAACCCTAGACACTTCTGAGCTGCAATGAATGTTAATGGAGATCAGATATGGGGGACCTTCCTTACGTGGTTATACCTTAGTTGGTGTCTGACATTTCACCGTGAGCAATGAGCTCTACTCAGCACACAGGTGTCTCTCTAAAATCAAATGAACTCTGTCTGGCCTGGCCTTAGAGATCACACGTGTGTGAACCCAGACTCTGGGCCGTTGGCAAGGACACAGCTGCGGCCTCAAGAATCTAGTCTTGGGAGAATCCTTTGAAGCAAGGCCCATGTCTGTTCTTCCAAGTTTGCTCCTGGCTGCAGTGAGAAGGATGGGATGAGAGAGACCCCAGACGTGGCCGAAGGCAGCCGCTGCACGAATTCACAGAAGAGCCGACGGAAAAGCCAGTCAATTCATAAGCTCTTTAGGCACCTACAATCTTAACTGTGAGAAAGTTTTAGTGACTCCGGTCTTTGATGTTGGTTTGCATGCCCTTTCCAAATTAGTTCTCCTCACCCCCACCCCAGATGGGTAAACCTAAGCCCGGCTTCCGTACAGTGCTCCTCCTATGAGTACAGTGACCCTGCACTTGACATGGTTTGTTTCCATCACAGAAAGAAGGCCAATGAGATAGATAATGAGGTGCAGATTCTTAGCAACTTACTGCTTCTTTATGTAGACTTTGAAGTGTTAAGGCAAAAATGAAGATAAATGATTGCCTCACACATACCCTCTCTCGTGTACCTTCAATTCCTGTAGGAATAAAAGTCTCCTAACTTTGAGTTGCTTAATCCCCAAATTGGCCTGAACTTGGGCGGCTCTGTGTCGCAAAGAGGGCAGACTGTGTTTGGAAGAGTATTAATGGTCTATGAAAAACCTTTTGTGCTGGGGAGGAGAGTCTTCTTCGTAGTTGACTTCCAGCTGCACACAATGTGTCCTGGTATACATTTTTAATATTTTTGGAAACTCACCGTTCATTAGCCACGGGAAAGATCACTACAGAGAAGAATTTTGAAATTTCTTTTCATCTCGTTCTCCATGCCACCCCTACCCCATCTAATAGCTGAGTACCTAAACTGGTCATTCATGAGCAGGAAATGCAAAGATTTGGCTGGAGCGATTGAGCAGTATACTTCTTGTCTCATGACTAGACTGCTGGCAATTATCGCTTCACCCAAACATGTACTGCAACCTGGAAATGAATGCACAAATTTGCCTCCCACCTGTAAATCATTGTCATCGTTCTACAGCCTTGGTTCTTCTCTGATCCCTGCTGAGCTCAGCTATCTGGGTCCATAGTCCACAAGGAACTTCCACCCTAGTGGTTCAATGTATGGCTATTATGGTAACAGTGAGATATTTTAGTCACCACCCACTGTGAGCCAGCAAAGAAGTACAGGGAAGTTTGTCTGTGATCAAACTATCAAAAAGTAATAGGATGATTATTGTTATTATCAGAGTCCAGAACTGTCTTTTAGTAAATAAGTATTTTTGAAAAAAGGAAACCTAAAGAATCATTTCTTCAAAATAATTTTACAGATGAGGAAAAAGGAAACTAGATCAAAGAGTTTGTCAAACAATATTATAGAAGTTCCTACAGCTGCCCACTAGGTCCAGAGGCCTGGTTCTTTGTGCTTCCGGCTGCTGACTAACCAGCATACGTTTTAGGATACAGAAATCCCATTTTCAATTAACCTTTGCCCTAACATATAGTTAGCCTCTGTTTATTGAAAAATTGCTTGGCTATCCAGCATTAGTTACCTGTTGCTGTGTAACAAATGAGCCCAGGATTGTTAACACGTGTTTGTAACAAGCATGATGACCTCAAACAACCCCTCTTGGTTGAGTTTATGATCCTGTAGGTCAGCAGTTTGGGCTGAGTTCAGCTGGGTGAGTCTTGTCCAAGCTCTTTCATGTGTCCTTGCTCATCAAGGTGGCACTTCCTCGGAGTCTTCACTGACTATCGACTGAGTCACCTGGGGAGCATCTGAGCCTGAGTTCAGTGCTTCACAGACTGCTTACCTGTTGTCTCTCCTCGGTGTCCCGAGGGAGAGAGAAGCAAGGCCCTGTGCAGCCTGGGCTCAGCTGATCCCACTCATTTTTTTTTTTTTTTTCTTCTTCTATGAGTGAACTTTGAAAAGCAAGTCAGGGAGCCAGACCTCACTTCTTAATGGGAGAAGCTACAAAATCACATTAAAAAAAAAAATAAAAAAAAAATTCCGGGTTGGGTATTTAGCTCAGTGGTAGAGCGCTAGCCTAGCAAGTACAAGGCCCTGGGTTCGGTCCTCAGCTCTGGGGGAAAAAAAATTCCTTGGATTTAAGGAGATGTGGACACCTGTGGCCGTTTTCAAAGCCTGCCTTATCAACCCCACACTTCCCATCACTCACCAACTCCTGGTGCCTGTAGCTAAGGTAGAATTCTACCTGACAGGCAAGGAAGCTGAGAGCCAGACTTGTTAGTCAGGGTCAGGCAAAGGACACAGCTGCTGAGTGCTGGATCAGCCTTGGTTCCTAGACCTGACTGGAAACTACCATGCAACACTGCCTGTGTTCTGCCACAGTGGGAGGCACCACAATGTCTCACAGCTCACACTATTATGCTGAAAAGCCTTAAGAATGCTTGTGTTT